GGGGGGGTATCCTGTCTTTACATCAAAGATGTGAAACATTGCCGGTAATGGAGAGGAACGCAATTTTCTAGGGACATACATTGCCACACTCCCTGTGCTCATCTGCCCCGAGCAATTGGGCTGGGAACGATTTTCCATACAAAATTGGACGTAACATCTGATTAGAGAAACAATGTAGAAGAGGCCACACCATCATGATTAAACGTGCTTTCTGTAATATTCTGAGTTTGTAAAAATTACAGAAACACGTGTATTTTTGGCTTCCGTGGCCTACAAAAACACCCATATTGCAGGTAGTATATGATGCCACGCGTTCAAACTTCTAATACAATTAGTAGAATGGTGTTCAAATCCAAAACAATGTGTAGCACGCCCGCATTTATTGGGTTTTTAAAGTTCTATGCTGCTGCAAGCGTAGGGCAAAGGTTCCTACTAATTTTAAAAAGTCCCATACACAAATAGATATAGATTTCATACGTATACAGTGGCGTCGAAAAGAAACTTGAAAATGTGATCAGTCAATCACCGTGTTAAATCCATGCACTACACGTTCATGCAGCATATCAATTTGAAGCTAAATCAATTCTGCATCTTCTGACTTGTTAATATTTTATCAACGTTGAGAGTCGCTCGAGATATGGTCACTCAAAATTACCTTGAAAAAAATCAGACTTAGCAAAATTGTGCGAATTCCAAGAAACTTAACATAGTGCTGGTGCGTATATTGAGGTGCATCAATATTGATAGAATGGACATACATTGGATATGGAGAATTTTGCGTTTGCAATAAAAAATATTCTATTACTATAGTTTCAAAAAGATCGGAAAAACAGAACAGTCACAAATTCCACCTATAACTTTATCTTTAAATGTGCTATTAGTATTTTGTTTGGGAGACATTGGTTTTGTGTAGAGCACGAATCCTTTAGGGATATGGACTCTATGAAATGTTGGGCATAATAAAATTGTCTGTCAGTTCGTGCCAAATGTCACAGAGTGCTGCAAACAAAGGGTCTGAATTGTGAGCAAAGTCGTTTCATGGGCTGCTGTTTCATAGGGGCTTTGCATACCCTGTATGATTCATGTCGAGGCTATTTACTGGTGATCACTCCAACGTTGATTTGATTTGGTTTTCCAAGAACTGTCTTGTGGCATTGGCCCTGTGAGAAAGTGCTTTGTCAGACATGAAGATGTGTACTTGAAAGACATATGACGAAAATAAAGGTAAGACAGGACGTTCCAGCACTTGTGCGTTGTAGTCCACTGAACCAAGCCATCCAGTGATTCTGGCAAGAGTGGTTTTGTTCATTCCACCCCAGACCACCCTTAACCATGGCAGTTTCGTGGTCTCTGTTCCTTGCTGACAGATCATTATGTTCAAATTCTAACTAACACAGTCCATGCACAAAAAAGGTTTCGTGCTCTATACGAAACCATTAGTTTCTAAACAAAATACAAATGAGCAGATAATGTAATGTTACGTCCAGGTTTGTGTAGTATTTGTGACAGTCCTGTTTTTCAGTCTGTTTGAAAATGTCATCAGAAGATGCTGTTTATTGCAAAGACTACAATATTCTCGATTCAATTCATATTCAATACATGTCCATTCCGCAAATATTAAAGCACCTCAATACCCGGGCGAAAACACGTTTACGTTTAGATCTACTTGATTTCGCATGATTTTGCCATGTCTAATTTCTTTAAGTCCAATATGAGTTACATAATATACCTCGGGTGACTTTCAACATGAATGAAATTTTAATCTGTCAGATGATGCAGAATTTATTTAGCTTTAAATTGGTGTGCTGCATGAGTGGGTAGTGCAAGATTTCTACATGATGACTGGGTGATTACATTTTCAATGGGTTTTTTATGCCACTGTACACACACACACACACACA